TGTTTTCCCCCCTCCAGAAAAGAGAGAAAGTTGTCATCTTTAGAAGGGAAAGGGCATCGGGTTCATGCTTGTGTATATGAATCTCACACGTGGGGTTTGATCGTGGAAATGATGGAGGGAGAATATATGATTAGTGAAAAGAGATAGCAAAAAAAGTTACAATAATTCATTCTTTACTCTTTTTTCTATGTCTTCTTGTTCCTCTCTCCTTCTGTCTCTATCTCTCGATGAGGGCAAAACTCACGATGCTTTCAAAATAAATAATTCATGAGATAATGCACTCCTCATATTATTTGTTGAAATAAGGTGAAAGTTATAGTGTTTGTCGTAGGTCGTTGGAAGGGTATGGCGATCTATGTGTTGAGGACGTTAAAACGTCCATTATCTCTGTGTAGCTCGCCGGGAAGCTATGAGAGAGATTGTATACGTCATGCACGTTCTAACACGGTGGACATCCGAGGCCATCCGAGAAGTTATACGAGAGCATCCGAAGTCATCCGACTAAGGTCATTCGACCGAGGTCATCCGATCGAATTATGTGAGGGCATGCGAGGATAGCCGAGGGAGCTATGCAATGGCATCCGAGCGAGCGAGCAAGGGTAGGTCGCCAGGATTGTATGACGACCTATAAGGTCGTCCGGAGGACATGGTGACCTATGCTTGGGGACGTGCATGTGCCATGCAACACGTTCATTTTCTCTGTGTGTTCGTCGTCGGGAAGCTGGCCACGTAGTAGGTCGCCCGGAAGGCATGACGACCTACGACCAACACTGTATTTCACTCTATTTGAGCAATTAATATTAGGAGAGCATTATCTCGTGAAATAATTTGTTCGAGAACATTCTCTTGAAAGTTTAACTTGATGAGTATGAATTTTTTATTAAAAAAGAAGAAGCCTTTTTTCAGGGTTTACTTTGTTTTATAGTCTTAGTTTAGTATCTTGAAAATTCTCGATGAAAAGTGGAGTGTTGGTTTCTTTGTTCTGGGTTATTGGGATAACAAAGTGTTTGGTTTCGTAAAGATTTTGTTATCAATCGTGTTTTTTAGAACTCCTGTTCCCCACAACTCTCCCACAGCTGTTACTGGTTTTCAGGTGTTTTTTATTCACAGATTATCTTTCATTTTTGTAGGAAATTTGTCTTTTTCTTCTCTTCTTTCCCTAGTTTATGTCTCCATGATCATCACAAGGAACTAATTGATTGAGATTTACAAATTCTGGGTTTGTTTTATTTCTTTGATTCTTTATTCCCCTATGTTCATAACACTTGTACTTTGTTGTTCTTCATGTTACCCTGATTTGAGTTTTTGTTTGTAAATTCCTGAGAGTATATGTTAATTGATTGTAGATTTCACATAATTGTTCCCTTTTTACCAGCTTACATGCATAGAGAATTGGCTATATCTATATATGTTTATTTACTCTTTTGTTCGAAGTTCCCTTTGTTGTTTGTCTTTCCAAATTATGCATACTTCAGCTTTGAATTCTATATGATAATCTTCTAAACAGGCTCTATATTGTTTATAATGGAAGTCGTTTCGATTGCCTGCTTTCGGTTCATAGGATGAGTATATAAGGTTTGGCTTGAACAGGTGGGGTAGGAAAGTTTCGAGGTCCGGAGAAATATTATGGCCACTTATTACAATGGTTCTAATAATCAAAAGGATACTGCTCCGATGATCTATTTGAGAGAACCGGGACCTGGTTCATTTCCAGAGGCGACGAGTCTTCCTAGTAATACGATTATGCATACGAATTACGGGTCATATTTAGATGCATTTGCTGGGAGTTCTCAGCAGCAAAATGATTGCACTGAGATTCAGGCTGTGGAAAGTTCGGGTTCGACTCCACAGAAGCAAGAAATCTTGTCAAGCCTGGGTGGCTCGTGTGTTGGGGAGCATGATTTTAGTGCCTGGAGGGATGGAAGAAGTGAAATATTACTTATGCATCCAATGGGCGGTACTGCTGGAGTCCTTTGCAGTGGTCAAAACTCGCAAGGTCAAGGATTATCCCTAAGCCTTGGAACCCAAATTCCCTCAGGAATTCAAATGGCTTCTGTCCCATATCGAAATCTCAATTGAGGTTTTTCTTCCTTCTTGAGTCCTAATCCATCACCTACTGGAGAGGGTGAAAGCAGGAACGAACAGTCGAGATATGCAGAGTATCTTTCACCTGGTTTTTCTATAGGTAAACAAGAATCAAATAAAGGGGATTTATCTGCATATGGAATGTCGAGTATTTCAAAAGGCATTCCTAATTCTAGATATCTCCAGGCAGCACAACAACTGCTTGATGGAGTTGTTAATGTTCGAATGGCTCTAAAGCAGTGCAATGGGGAGAAAAACAAAGCTCGGAAGAAAACAGGATGAAGAATTCCAAAGAGGATGACGAAGGATTAAAAAAAGTGCTCTCAAATCAGCAAGAATCCTCCGATAACTCTCCAAACCAGCTTTCACATACTGAAAGACAAGAACTACAAAACAAATTAACGAAGCTGTTGTCCATGTTGGATGAGGTAAGAGTCGGGTCACATTAATGTAAGCTTATCATAGATACTCCGAGGAGCGATTAAGTCCAAAAAGAAGCATTGACAATTAAAATGTGTTTTCTCCATGTTAATGTCTAAAATTGAATAGTTTGTTGATGCAGGTTGATAGAAGGTATAAACAGTATTATCATCAGATGCAGATTGTGGTGTCATCATTTGATGTGATAGCGGGGTGTGGAGCCTCTAAGCCATACACAGCACTTGCACTTCAGACTATATCCCGTCACTTCCGGTGCTTACAAGATGCAATTAATGGTCAAATTCGGGCAACACGGGAAAGTCTCGGGGAGCAGGATAATTCAGAAAATAGTAAAGGGGTAGGAATAACTCGTCTGCGTTTTGTGGATCAGCAGCTGCGGCAACAGAGAACTCTTCAGCAGCTTGGAATGATGCAACAACATGCATGGAGGCCTCAGAGAGGGCTGCCCGAAAGCTCAATCTCAATACTTCGTGCTTGGCTTTTTGAGCATTTTCTTAATCCGTAAGTTTTACATAACACTCCTTACTATCTCAGTTCTTATTCCTGTTGTACTTATTTCTGTTCCTGTTGTCATCCAGCTACCCAAAGGACGCCGATAAGATCTTGCTAGCAAGACAGACAGACAGTCAGGTAATCAAAAACTAATCATCTTATTAACATGAAATGATACAGATGTGATAAGTAGTGCTTTTTAAATTAGGATTATGTCAATTGTTTCGTGTAGGGGTGTTCACTCGAAGCTATGCACGGAAAGTGTTATTAAGGTTTTGAAGTCTAAAACTAGTGGTGGAACTTGGAAGCATGGCTAAAAAATGCTGGATATATGCTAAAACTACTTTGTAACGAGTACGAATATAATGAACTCGTATTGCAAAACATGGTATCTAATTCCTCCAAATTGACGAATAGTCAAATGGTATTTTATTAGACCTGTTCTGCTCACCCGAAAAACATCAAGTAATTCAGTAGCCTCTTAACCCTCAGGATATAGATTATTTGCAAGTTACTAGGTGTTAGAATATATTAAATCATGTTTTCTTGTAGTGTTTGAGTTTTTAGTATTGATCAGTATGCTCTCCTTAGACAATATCTGTAAATGATGACATAATTTCTATATGCTTAAGTTTTTATGCCTTAATGATATATTCAGGTTGCCAATTGGTTTATAAATGCACGGGTGCGCCTTTGGAAGCCTATGGTTGAAGAGATGTACAAGGAAGAATTTGTGGATGCAGAAATGGACTATAATTCTTCATCCGAAAATGCTATCAAGGCAATAAAAGGCAATACGATGGCCTCTGGGGACAGAGGTGAAGAGGTGCAACAAAGTGAAGTTCTTCGGCCATGGAGGAATGTAACACCAGAGAGTTGGTTGATTCCAAAGCCGGTCATGTTCCTTATGTGGTCGATATAACGGGACCAATTACCGGAGCTGGTTTCCAAAATGTCATGCAAGAAGAAGCTGAAACCATGTTACTTAAGCTAAGGGAGGAGCAGAGGCCCAATATCGATGACTCTAACCTCTTGCCTGATGCAATTTATCATCCGGATGGTGATAATGGCCAGTTTATAGCAGCTGCTACTGCTTACAACATGTCCGGATTGGGGAGTTTCGGGAATGGAACCTGTGTCTCTCTCACTTTGGGATTGCAGCACTGTGAGGGTGGCGATATACCGATATCAGGTGGAGGTCATCAGAATTTTGTTGCAATGAGAGGTGACGGCATATACGATCCTGCAGCATTGAGTGCCGAAACATCAGATTTTGAATGCATAAATCCCGGAAACCGGGAACACGGGTTTAGTTCCTCTCATTTAGTACATGATTTTGTAGTATGAAATGTGCTTGGCTGCTGATTTACATTGGTTAATTTTGATATATCTCTCTTATGGAATTTAGAAACTGGAGGGCCAGAGCCAGGTTTGAAGCTCATCTGAACATTTCATTGCGTTAGGCAGCCAAGGTATTGGTACAGTTGTAATATATCAAAAAAATTGATTGTATGGACCAGCATGATTGTAAAGATACACGATTTTGTTCAATTTGTAATGGAAAAAAAATTCTGTACAAGTGGTTGCAGCTAAAAAAAAAACTTGATATGAAATAAAAGGTAGGAATTGGGGTTGTACTCTGTACACTGAAAACGAATCGAGTTTGAATGAATAAAATTATGTTAATGTTCATTTGTTTATTTTTTAAAGTGTTCATGTTCAATTCATTTACGTGTTCGTTTATTTATTTATTTTTGAAGATGTTCGTGTCCATTCATTTAGCTTTTACGAGTATGTTCATTTAATGTTGGTTGTAGCCAACACTATCTTTTTTTTTCTTTCATCGAACATTCCATTTATTTACACCCTACTGCGGCCTGCATTCTTTCCTTATTCCAGTTTAGGCCAATAAGATGGATATTTTTTTTTCATTATTTTTCAAAAATGTTTAAAAGAGTAAAAAAAAATTAACAAAGGGTAAACGTCTGGTCTTACTTGAAATCCTATGCAAAACAAAGGGACATCCCTAAATTGATGAAACAAGCAAACGCTTGTAAACCTCATTGTTGATGTCATAAGGGCGAAGACATAGTTTTCGCCTAGATTTTTATATGGGCGGAGAAATTAACTAAAACCTTTGAGTGGTTAAAGACAAATCTGCAATGGCAGCAATTATATCATCTATTGGTTCGTCTTTCGGGTCTTTCCATGCCGTTGAACTATCGAAAGCCAATGGCATAGATTGAAAGGAAGACGTTTTACCAGCAATCTTGTTCAACTCTTTAAGGTCACCTTCCTCATCCGGAATGTCCAAATCCCATACCCTGAAGATATCCAGAGTCGATGAATTCATTTCCTCCTCAGATAAACTCGATTGAGTTCCCAACTCAATCAAATTAGCCTTTCCTTCTTCCTCCTTGTAGGTGGGCCGAAAAGGATCTCCCCAGAATGTTTCAGAGGAATCTTCCTGAAGAAATTGCAGTTTAGTGCCAGACCTCTTTTTGATAGGAATATTGTCTGAGTTTGTTTCATAGTCGCCATCCATTGGAATGACAAGAAGATTGTCTTGAGTTTTTCCCAAGTAACTGTCGGACTCTTCCTCCTTGACGGAAGGAACTATACTGGTTTCAGTACCACCCAGATTCCAGTTGCTTCCAGTTACAGAAGGGTCAAGTGTCTCTGGTTGATCACCGATGATCTCTAGCAAAACATCTTTGAAAGAAGTCCAATCAGTTTCCAAAATTTCGGTATCTGTAACCAGACAAGAATTTACCCAAGCCAAATCCTCATCAGAAAGCTTCTCTCCCTGCTGGGTAGATTCCAAAGATTCAAGGATAATAGAGGAAGCAGAGCCAACTATTGTGTCATCTTCTACTTCCATTACTACAAAATTAGCAGTCAAGTGTCAATAATGTCGATAACAGTAATCAAAGACAGCTTCATGTGTCAACCTTCATAAACCATAAATATTTGCTTCAGGAGCAATGTAGAATTCACTGAGTAAATGTTGAATTGATAATCCGCTTAAACCAACTTACTTAGCTAAGATACTCCCAGAGGAATAAGTGTCATCTTGTAGAATTTATAAAATTACGAAACATTTAAAAGTGAACCAATCCACAAAACTTACTCAACAATTTAAGAGAAAAAAAGAATCCATTTCATCAACTAGAAAAAGATGGTAAAAACACTTGTTCAATATTGCAATCTGATGTTCTAAGTTTGATTTCGAATTCCCATCTACTCGAACAAACAAATTATAGAGCACTGCAGCAATCTTCTCTAAACAATCATGGCCCAATAGTACCCCAAGCATCAAATTCAGAACGGTAAAAACACCCTCTCAGAACAACAAAATTTCAACCTAAATGCTTTTCTCTTTCCCTTTTAATTTTAGAGCCCAAAGAAAAATGGCATGCTTCAAATAACTACAGGAGCAGAAACTACACGAACCAAGTAAATTCTCACAGCAGCAATTACTATAACTTAAGTAAAACTGATATAAACATAATGTTAAAATTAAAAACAAAAGGGATAAAATTGCTTTGCAAGGTAACGATCAAACAAATCATTATAATAGAGAGAACTTGCAACAAATCTTTTTGTGGTTACAAAAAAAGAAGGTAAGCCTATAGCGCAAAGTATAGAAGATTATTGACGGGTATAAATCTTGCATTGAACATAAATTGAAGAACCATAACAATTAATATAAAACCCTAAACCCTAAAGCCACGCATAAAATTTCCATGTTAAAAACATGGATGAAATAGAAAAAGAGAGAGAGAGAAATGTACATACCAAATTGAAATTATTGAGAAAATTCAAAATTGTAAACCTAAAGTTCCGTTGTTTAGAAGGGAAAGTGGGGATACCTGTACTATATATCACGTACTCGGCGAAGGGAAGGGAAGAAGACCTTGAATTTGAGGGAAACGCCTCTCAACAAAACAAATTTCTACATTAAAAAAAACGTATTTGAAAAGAGAAATTTATAGGCGGCGTTGAAAGCTTTTTCAGTAACGAAATCTCTTTCTACAGGGTTATTTAAAAAGCTCTTTATTTTAGTATAAATTAATTTGAATAAGATATAAAAGTTTTCCTTTTTTTGAACTAATAAGAGTTGAAGTAATAAGTAGTTTGATTTCGCTTAAGTAACACCTCAAGTTTGAATCCGTTGTGTATATCAAAAAATATCTACTGGAAGACTCTTCCATCAAAATCAGGTATGCGACATAGGTCGATCAGGATTAGTCAAGATAAAACCTTGACGATAAACAATCTTGCTAACATGATAAATCTAGACGTTAAATAATTGGATTTTCTAATTTATATATTTATAATCAGACCCTAATTTCTATATTTATAATTGGGTATTTGGGTTTTCTTTTCAATTCTATAAATTTTTTTATTTTTGATCCTCTTCTTTTGTCTCTCGAATTAATTCATTCAATTTTAAATTAAATTTAATCATATTTTAATCTATTTTTTAGATCTTATTTTTTTAATTTATCAAATATTCTTTAACTTTTATTTATTACAACATTTTATTTATTACCCACATTCAATTTTACTTTTACTTATTTTCTCTTAGTTGTAAGGGTGTTCATTTTATGGTTTTATTCGAATTAACTGACCTAATTGAATTAATTCGGTTAAAATGATTAACATTGAATTAGTTCAATCAGGGAAGAGTTAATTTTTTTCAATATTCGGTTAACGGTTAATTTGGTTTGAAATCGGTTAATTAACCGAATTAACCAAAAATATTAAATATTATATATATATATATTAAATACATATTTTAAGTTCAAATCTATTAAGAATTAAGACCAATTATTTTTAACCACACTAGACCCATTAACTTATCAAGACTTAATTAAATTTTAACCCAAGTAAAAAATAGCTATATTAAATTTAAATTAATCTAAATAAAAAATTAAGTAAAAAATAGTTTAATTAGGTTGATGATCGAATTAATTGAACTTTGTTTTGGTTCGGTTAATATTTTAAAAAATAGTTCAGTTAACTGTTAAAAAAGAAAAAGTTCGATTAATAGAAATTCAATTCGATTGATGGTCGAATTAACCAAACACCCTACTTAGTTGTATTTAAGGTGTTTTCAATAAAAATATTATGCATGACTAAATTTAATTATTTTTATATGATTTATTATTGTGTATTAAATTAATTGTTTAAAGTAATGAAATATAGTTTCATTCTATAAGCCCAAAAAATCTCTAATACACTCTAACAATTAGAGGTGAGTAAAACTCGACTCGAAAAATCTAAGTTTTCGACTCGATTCAACTTGAATTGACTTCTAGTTACAATTTCATAAACTCTGACTCAACTAAAAAAAATCAAGTTCAAATCAAGTTGTAAAATACAACTCGAATAACTCAAAAATATTTAGTAATTAGTGGATTTATTTTTAAGTTTGAGTCGAGTTTTTAGACTTTGTATGATATATGTATATCACATACGAAAAAAATATAAAGAAATATACTTGTATTATATATAAGATTATAGAAAATCACTTAAATTGGAATCAAATAGTATTATAATATTTACAATTAAATTTAAATAAAAACTCAAAAAATCGACTTGACTAGATCGAACGCTCACCCTTACTAACAATAACATTACCTTGTAATCTTAATTTAATTATAATTTAATTATCATATAATTGATTAGTCCAACTTATAGATTTAGGCCAGTTTGATGCAACTTTTAAAAAGTTAATTTTAAAAGTGTTGTAGAAACGAATTTTTTAAAAGTGATGTACAAAAATACAATTTAAAATGTAAGTGTTTGGGATTGTTGTTAAAAAGTGAGTTTCAAAAGATAAAATGTCCATTATAAAAATTATGTTGTAAATTAAAAATATATCATTTAAATTATATTTACACTTATTAACACTATGATACATAAAATGGTTGAATTTCTCAAATAATGCAGTGGAAAAAATTGGAAAAACTTATTTGCTCGAATAATGCAGTCGACATATTATTTCGTGAAATATGGTGAATACTATAGTAAACCCCGAAGACGCATTGGACTCCAATCGTCTTACCCTTCCCGACCATCCAGGCCGCCGGTGCCGTCAAGCCCCTCGAAGACACATGGTTTTCCATGCGTCTTTCCCACTGAACTTGTGACCCCTCATGCAGAAGCATGGCTCATTTACCGAGGTAGGTAATGCATGTGCCCCCATTGGCGGATAGAACCCCTCGAAGATGCATGGTTTTCCATTCATCTTTCATATCCCCTCTTCCCCGATGAACGCTTGTGGCCCCTGAATGCATGCATGCATGCATAGCATCAATAATGGCCTATAATACTACCACGTGAATATGTAGGCACGACAGCAATAATGGCATGTAATACTACCACGTGAATCTGTAGGCATAACAACAATTATTAGCTATAAATTGTTTACCTTACCAAATTGATTCAATTCGAAGATTTATAAATACCAATAAAATAAAATAACAATCATAAACATGAGTAAATAATTTTTTTACCTTAACTTAAATTCGAAGATTTAATAATTATTAGTTACAAATTGTTTAGCTTATCAAATTGATTAAATTCAAAGATTTATAAACGACATATTTACGTAGATTGGTCAAAAAGAAATCTCATGACTCTGTTGTCTCTCCTTCAAAAATGGCAAATGCAATTGTGAAGATATTTCATTCATCATCTTGCGCAACTACCATCAACAATACATGTTTATATTGACCAAACAATCACGTACCATCTACTTGGACCATACGTTTGCAAAATGGAAATCCTTTTATGCATGACTTGAATGCCCAAAAGAGTCTATGAAATATTTTCTTCCCTGGAACAAGTTGACATTCTTCGTCATACGCAGGCATGGTTTGAGACTTCACTATGGTTCCCGGGATGAATCGCTTCATTGCTTATAAAAATGTGGTAGCTTATTGTATGATGTATCCCAATCTCCATATGTCAGCTTTTTTGCCTTCATTTTCGCATTCCAAACCTTGCCATATTTTACATGGTATCCAAATTGACTTCGAATAGATGCAACTAACACTGAACAAGGGATTATTGGATCCTTCTCAACCAACACCTTCAAGTAATCACATATTATATCAGAGTCTAATAGTTGGTGGTCTTGCTCGATTGAGGTCCGCAAACATGTGTGAGGACCATTGTACCTTGTGATGACCCAAGCATCATGCCTTTGAATTTTGCACCTTGGGCCATATTTAACACACTTCACATATATGATTTTTTTTGGACTCTGCAATATGGACATTGTAAACGCTAATTTTTTTCATTTTTTGTTTATATTATTATTAAAATTAAAATTATTAAAATTTTATATATTATATTATATTATATTATTATTAAATAATTATTATAAAGCCCAAAGCGGCAGCCCAAATACAAATCCCAGGCCCAACTAGAACCGGCCCAGACCCAAATAGAAACCCTGAACTAATTTGGGGTTTTAGCTAGGGTTTCTCAACCCTATCCCAGCCGCCGCTACTTCCAGAACATCCACGACGCCGCTCCAAGCTTCAGCCGCCCCACGCCTTCAGCTACTTCCAGAAGCCCAAGCCAGATGTCTCGTCCAGCCGTTGCCGACGCTTCAGTACTGCCACGACGCCAACAGAGGATTCCAGAAGGTCAGCTGCCCCCCACACGTCGCGGCTATGGGGTGAGTCACCACATAGCTTGGTAACTCACCAAACTTCCCCCTCTGGACCGGTCCGAGCATGGCTCTGTGGTGGCTATAAAAGCCACCGGATCCTGCAAAAACAAAAAAATAGAAACGAGAGACCACGAGAGCAAGAACTACAAAAACGATCCCAGACGACTACGTAAGAAGAAGAAGACGAGAAGACTTACCATCGAGGAAGCTACGCCGTCGTCAGAATCTCCACACACACCGCCAAAGAAACCGAAATACCGTGGGTATTTCTGTAGATCTAGGTAATTTTGGGGTTGTTTAAGGGAAAAAGAGGTCGGATTCGGCCAGGGGAGGTTCAGAGCTTCATTTTGAGTATATTTTTAATTTTCCGGCCACCATGGGTGGTGGCCGGCGGTGGTGACCGACGCCAGAGCACGGCTGTCGGTCGGTGGTCTCCCTCTCTGTTTTAGAGAGAGGCCAGAGAGAACTCTGGTTCTCTCATTTGAGAGCGAGAAGAGAGAAAGAAGAAATGAGGATGCTGGCCCTTCAGGCCAGCCATTTAGGGTATTTATACCCCTTCCCAAATGACGTCGTTTTGGGAGGGGTATATCTGTAATTTCGCGCATGGCCAAACCATACGCGTAGTCATCTAAGTTTGTAATCTTTTCAATTTAGTCACTAGAATTGTTTTTCTGGATATTTTAATTGTCTTCCAATATTATTTCATTTTAATTTAGTCCTTATCAGCATATATATATATTTAGGGTAAATATCAAATTTAGTCCCTCATAGTTTAGTAATTATTATTTTAATCTCGTATTATGAATTATGGTTAAATTACACTTTTAATGCCCATCTTTTATATATTTCGAATTAGTACTCTAGTTTTATAATTTTACATTTTAATCATTAAAATTTCATTTTTTGACTATGATTTTTTAATATTTTACATTTTAATACTATATTTTTAATTCCTTTTATTTTAATCATTATTTGCAATATTTATTATTATTATTATTATTATTATTATTATTTCATTATTATTATTTTTATTATTTATTTAAATATATATATATATATATATAATAAATAATATTTTTTTATTCGTTAAAATCCTATATTTCATAAATTACTTTTAATAATCATATTTTAATATATATTTATTTATTTTTCAATATTAAGAAAGGGCAGTCTTAAAACAACTGGATGTCCATTTTCTGATATTTTTAAATAAATAAATATCCTATTTTATAAATTATATATTAATTATATTAATTAATTATTTATTTTTTAATATCGAATAAAAGAGCTGTCTTAAGGCACCTAGAAGTCCTTTTCTGATATTTTTAAATAAATAAATATTTTATTTATAAATATATATAAATTAATATATTTTATTTCATA